TTACCCAGTCTGCTATCTGTGTATGTGTTTTTCTTTTTCTCATGTCTTTCTCCTCAAATACCATCCACATAGTTTCTGGAGCAAGCATACTAAAACAAAAATCTCATAGTCAACTCTTAATTAAAACCCTAGGTTTACTATAAAGATTTATCAACCTAGGGAAGGTTGGTAAATATCCATAGTCTGAGATCTAAGTTCCTTAACAGAGTCTTTATTATCCCCTTCTTGTGGACAATGCCCCAACAGCATAAAATATGGTGTTCCTTACTTCAGTGATTTTGCTGATACATTTCTCTAAAAATTTATCTGCATCCTACGTTAACTCCACATAACTCTAAGTAATTCATGTTGTTGTTAAGTTCTGTTACGTTGGTTCTGACTCATAGGGACCCAGGTATAGGGTCTCTGAGGAGTAGCTGGTGGGTTTGAACCTCAGACTTTTCAGTTAGCAGTCCATTGATTATTCTAAAGCACTATACCAAGACCTCAAGTAATTCCTACTCATCCTTTAAGGTACAGCCCAGTTGTTATCTCTTCCATTAACACTTCTGTTGTTTTCGAGTTGGTTCCAACTAATAACAACCCTATAAAGGAGCTCTGATAGCGTAGTGGTTACGAATTGGGCTGTGAACCACAAGGTCAGCAGCTCGAAACTACCAGCTGTTCCGCGGGAGAAAGATGAGGCTTTCTGCTCCCGTAAAGATTTACAGCCTTGGAAACCCTGTACAGGGTCGCTATGAGTCGGAACCGACTCCTCGGCGCATAACCAACCAACCAACCAATAGTGTTTCCAGGCAGTAGCTGCTGGGTTTGAATTGCCAACCTTGCAATTAGAAGTTCAGTGCTTATCTTACAGTGCCACATATTACATACATACATATATTATTTGGTTATTTGTTTACAATCCTAATAAATTTAGGAGTTACTTACTGATTATAACTTATTCTTTAAAAATCTACAGTATGCCTAGCATATGGTAGGAGTTCAGTTAACTATTAGTTACATGGCAGGCACAGTAATCTTTTAGAAATCTGAATGAGGTCACATTACTCTTTGGTGATTCTGCAATAGTTGTTCTCTGAAATGTACTGTTTCTGACTGCCACAAAGACTCTGTACTTTCCACCCTTTATCTTACTTTTCCCCCATAGCATTTATTTCTGTTTGCAATCATTTATTTGTTGCTTTGTTCACTCCTTGCTCCTATATCAGAATATAACCTGTGCAGGCACCTCACATGCAACAGCTTCAAGGCCAATATTTATTTGCTTTTTTGTCTTCTGGCTTTGGTACACTTTTGGAAGCTGTGTCAGCAGAGACTTTCCCAAGTGCAAAGGCCCTGAGACCCTGGCTCTCCAGCACCAGTAGTGGGGTGCTACATTTGACCATGCACATGCCTATCTGCTGGGGTTCAGCCTTGGGCCTGTCACCCAAACAGGTTTCAGGTTATGTGCCAACTCTGATTCACTGCAGGGACAGTTTGGAGTCATGGTTGAGAGACAAGTCTGGTTTTCATTACAAAAAAGGCTATGATCGGTTAGCCATACCTACTACAGGGACCATGGTGACCAACCCATTAGAAATGTCTGGAATGGGGAATCTGGAAAAGGGGTTGCAGGCCAGTTAAGGGCTCAGAAAAGGACCAGGAGGGATGCCCATCCTTGCCACCCATGGCAGTTCTCTGCAAACCAGTCAACGAAGTTGTGGGTAACTTCTCCAGATCCTGGATGGGACAACTTAAGCCCCAACTACTGGGAGCTCAGAAAGGTAGAGCTCACATCTGAAGGCAGAGGCCACACCTGCGGTATTGGTACCTCACCGCAGTTTTATCTGGGTCAAGAGAGCTGGCTGGTTATCCTCTGAGGCTTAAATGCAACTCAGAGAACTAGACATTTTTATGTGGCACTTAAACTGGAACAACTGTCATGCTGGGTAAACTTACACAGCTTTTCAGTCCACACTGAAAATATTTATCTTCTATGGGCTACTGAGAAACCAAAATTGGGTGAAAGGACAGCTGGATTACTTTAATCAAGTTCCAGAATGGAGAGACAGTTTCAAAAAGCACTGTCACAACAGAAAACGCACAGCAAGGGTAAAAGAATGTTTCTGGAACATGCCAAAGGCACGGGACATAAGCCCAACTTTGTGTTTTGCTTCCCCTCGAGGCCATACCATGTCCATAGGGTGGGAGGCTACTTGGTCCGGCCGACTTTGAGGATGTCGTAATGCTCCATGAATGTGTCCAAGTGTCTGTTGAAGTCCTCCACTCTCTGCTTGTGGGTTTTGGACGCTTTCTTCCGGATCTTTTCCATTTGCCACTTCTCTTATATCTTCTCAAAGGCCACCTGGGTCGGTGTCCTCTTGTCCAGGTGGTGCCGCTTCTCCTCCTCATTCTTTTTGTTCGTTCCCATCCTTTCCAGAAGTTTTGTCTTGTATTTGTTTTTCTTTTTCTTCTTCTGCTTGGTCATTTCGAGTTCTGCAATGCCTTTCAGTTTCAGGGGACCCTTCTGGACCTGTTGGTAAGCTGTCATAGCGCCTGCCAGCAACCTGTAGGTAAACTCTGCAAGCTAACTTTTAAATTGATAATTCTGTAGGGCCCACAAATTATGTTATAAATTTTGGCACCCATGATTTAAGAGATGGCAAATCTTACAGTAAGATATTTAGTAATTTATTTCTGAAATGGATTTTCCTGTTTTATTTTGATATAAATATTAATGATCTGTATTCCTGACCACAAATCAAATGTTGGCATAAAAAACTAATTCAGAAAGTTTCCTTCAAAATTGGTCATTTAGGATGAGGTTGAAAATGTGAACAAGCATATAAAATAGATAACCAACTTGAAGCTGATTCTACCTATGGTGGTGAATTGAGAGAATAAATGAAAAGGCATAGAGTGGCTGGCTTGCAAGCTTTTATGACAGTGCTTAGTGTCAGAATGAGGGGAGCAAGACAGAAACCCTACTGAATAGCTTTCCTCTTGTCCAGCTGAGTCTGGTGATGAGGAAGATAGGATTTTATGATTCAAATGTGAGTAACTGTTATCAGGCCTAATGGTGATTGTCACACCTGTAAATGTAGAAGAGGCACAACTATGAGAGGGGAGCAGTTAATCTGCCATTTCAGGAACAGAGGACCCTAGAACCATCAAGAAGGAAGAACATGAGAGGAGTGAGGGATCCTAACCAGAAAATCAGCGACAACAGAGGTGGGGTAGAGGCAATGGCATAGAGAAACAGAGCATAGAGAAACAATGGCATAGAGACTATAGGCCCACAGATTGAGAAGAGCAGTGTGCCTGTGGGCAGGAGGTGGGTTTACAAAATGCATCCTTTGGACACTTAAACGAATATATATTTTCAATGTGTATGTGTACATCATTTAAAAAAGAGAGAATAAATGAACTGAAGCAATCTACTTATTGATAACTGAGTCCTTATACCAAAAAAAAAAAAAAAAAGATAATGTGTACATAATTTTACTACACTAGGGCACATTACAATGAATTACATTCAAATGATGAGAAACAAGAATAAGTAGAGAGAGTACATATGATCAGTAATGTCTTATTCATGATACTCTTTCTGAGAAAAGTCAATGGCCAATTGTCAGGATACAGTCATCTAACTACTTTCACAGTTTGGTCTGTACCACTCAGACCAAAAATATACAGCATCTGAATATAACACACAGCAACAATAGAAAAAGATAAAACAAAAATAAAGTAAGGATTATTAACACTGGAGCAAAATAACAGAGACTGGAAAACCACAAAATTAAATACAGCAAAAACTACACTAAATAATTGAACTGTAAGGCATGAAATTTCAATCAGACTTACTGAAAGACATAACAAAGCATGGATTATTAAGGACTTATTGTTGATGTTATCTTTTATGCTGGCTTCCACTTTCATTCACAAGAATTCAATCCTTAGAATTTAATCATTAGTTTTCAATGATTTTTGTCAAAACTTTTATTATCAATTCTTCATGAACTAAATTAGTACGGATAAAAGAGGTCATAGATAACTCCAAAGAACTTTGAAACAAAAGTTGTAAGGGTGACAAGTAGGACACATACATTCCTTGTCTATCCTAGTCCTAGCTGAGCCCACCAACACCCTTATCACCCCCATTTCCTTCTCTGTCTAAAGCCACAAAATTCTGTCACTTAGCTGGCTCAAATCCTTGAAGAGAACATTACTGACTTTTGATAGATACTTTCTTTTCTCATTCTAGTCAATTCACCTCTTTTGTTAAATGCCAGATAACTGATACTTTCCTCCAAATATAAAATATATTTCCTCAGCATATTAGAGCTATACTATCCGTGTGGTGGTGGTGGTGGTGGCAGTGTGTCATGCAGTCGGTTCCGACTCACAGTGACCCTGAATACATGTGTCAGTGCAAAGTCTCACTTTGCAAAGAGGAGTGTTGCTAGGATAGAAATGAACAAGGACTCTCCATAAGCCCAGGTTCTCCATAAATCTCGAGTCATCTCTCAAGATGAGGAAGTAGATCACAGCCTTCTTTGACAAGTTATCACAGTTCCATCAGTACTTCTAAAGACTTCATTGACTGAATAGCCTGCTAGGGGGTGGGCATAGGGGTAAGCAGAAACACAAATCAACTACTGCTACCTAATTCTTGAGTGATGAACTCTGCTGAGGATGGTGGGAATTTTGAAAGGTTAACATTACTCTATCCTCCTAGATTATCAAGACTTAACGCAAATACTGGTGAACTAATTCTCTCCAAAAGTAGAAGCTCATCAGCAAAAAAACTTGACAGCACTTAACAACAACAAGAAATTACAATGAAAGTGTTTATATGTGTTTTAGTTCCTATTGTTTTATAAGAGTTATATTCCTTTATTTTATTGCTATATAATTATATATATTTACACATAACAGAAATATAAGTGAATTATACCACACCAGTACACAGGCACATGCAATTCTACGAGACAGACTCAATCATAAGAAAAATATACCTGCCATCCCTGTGATGACGCTCAATGGTCTGCCTGTATCTGGAGCGAGGTAGAGTAAGAAAATGACTGCAAGTGTGGCAGAAACAAGAATAAAATGAGATCGAGAGAGAAATGAAAAAGGTATAGTTTAATTTTAAAAGGTGAGATTAAAAATAGATAAGCAGATAGTAAGCAAAGCAAATGAAAATTGTTACTGAAAAGCTTGCCTCCTCCTCCCAATATAATCTGGCAGTACTAAGGGATTAACATAATCTAAAACAGAATACAGCAAAAATACAATCAACTGAGACTTAAAAATACCATATTTCAAAATAAAATCTTTCAGTGATCACTCAAACATCTTCAGCACCATCTAGAAAAGGTTCTATAATAGTGATCTCTTTCTATCATTAGGAGGAAAAGCAAGTGAAAAATAACAGAATAACCAGAAAGCTTAAGAAATAAAGAATAAAAGGAAAATTCCAATATTTTAAGTAATTACAAAATGTTATGAGGTAAATCTTTTTCTTTCAATCATTAACCATGAAAATTTACTACAAAAGACTTCAAAATTTCCACTTAATAAAGAAGAAAATAAAGATCTTTTCTCTGGTTATTAATTTTATTATTAATTCTATTTGATACTTTTTACTCACTTCGTTTATTACACTACATGGTGTTGGCCTTGCTACATTTCATGCCTCATGACTACAATAAACCACTAGTGCAGTCCATTAATAGCTGGTTCTCTTATTTATTTATGTAGCATTGGTGTAGAGCTGTGGGTTAATGTGCTGGACTGCAAAGTTGGTTTGAACCACAAGGTCAGTGGTTCAAGCTCACCAGCCACTCCTGGAAAACCCTATGCAGGGTCTCTATGGGTCTGAACTGACGCGGCACCACTTAACAACAACAATAACAATTTATATTTACATGATGCAGTATTTACATGAACTAACAGAAAATTTCCTATTTTCTTAAAAGCTTTAATGAAAAAAAATAGTTAATTTTGGTGGCTAATCATTGTTTCAGTAAAAAGTGAAAACCACCCTGGAATTCTGTCATTTGTACACTTGTATTTCTAACTTTAGAATAAATACAGTAGTTCACCCTTACCCGTGGCTTCCATTTCCATGATTTTAGTTCCTTGTGGTCAACCATAGTCTGAAAGTGTTGAGTAGCAGGATGAAATTAAAACCCAAGGCCTTAACCATTTACACATATGGCCTGGATTCAGCTGTTTCCGCTTCATTTACAGGGTCCTCTTGCTCAGTGTACCTTAGAGGTACCTGTTTCCCAAGAGTCATTCCTCAACCTTCTCTATAGTCCAACGATTTTTTTTTAAATACTATCACTTGGTTTTATTGTGTAAATCATCACTTGACTTCAGCCTTGACTTCTCTCTAGGGTGGTGTGGCAACTTTCCAGCTGTTTACTGAGATCCCCATGTGGCTGCCTGTGTGTCATGCAGGTACTTCACAACAACACACGGTGGTCCTTCAACAAAACACTACCTATCTGAGTTGCTACAGTTGTGAAATGAGTTGGCTAAGGCAGTCATTCTCAAAATGTGTTGTTTAGCAGATGATAATTCTGCTTTCTCAAGCAAATTTCATATAGAACTAATACACTGTTGTTGTTGTTATTAAGTGCCATCAAGTCAGTTCCAATTCATAGTGACCCTGAGTATAGGGTTTCCGAGGAGCAGCTGGTGGGTTTGAACCATTGCAGTCTAGTGCTTATCCTAAAGCACTATACAACAGGACTCCAAAACTAATTTGTTGTTGCTGTTAAGTGCCATTGTGTTGTATCTGGCTCATGTTGTTAAGTGACACAGAGTTGGTTCTGACCCATAGTGACCCTGTGTAAGGTTTCTGAGAAGTGGTTGGTGAACTTAACTACCAACCTTGAGATTCAAACTGACTTTTCAGTCCAGTGCATTAACCCATTGCACCACACCTATACAGTGACCTTATACCGGGCTTTTGAGGAGTGGATGGTGGGTTTGAACCACTGACCTTGTGGTTAGCAAACCAGTGCTTATCCTACAGAGCCACACCAGAACTCCAGAACGAATACAGAGGTTGGTGTTTTTAAGTATTGTGGAGTCGGTTCTGATTCATAGCAATACAGGGTTTCCAAGGAGCAGCCAACCTTGTGGTGATCCAGAGCGCCACACCAGAAGGAGTCCCATAAAATCAACTAGAGACGGAGTGAGAAGCATCATCCTGATGTAGTGTAGCACTCCTTTTAGGTTCCTCTTCAGAACCCTAATGTTATGATCCTAATGTCCCTTCAGAAGTCCTGGTGGTGCATTGGTTAAGCATTCAGCTGCTTACTGAAAGGTCAGTGGTTTATACTCACCAGCTGCTCTACTGAAGAAACATGTGGCAGATACCTTCTATAAAGATTGTTGCTGTTGTTAAGTGCCATCGAGTCACTTCTGACCCA